AACTCGGTTTAGTGTTAAGTAATTAATGGCTATCATCATATAACGGAAAGACCATGAACCGTTCTGCTCCATAATATTACAGAGAGCGGTTGATAGACTCACAAATTCTTAGTAATGTTCTTCGAGTAATTAATTCAATTATCCACTATCCCTACTCAGCGAAGTGTAGTCGTCAGGTCTTTGGTCCTTAACATGTATTAAATTAATAAGTAAAGTTTATCAGCTTTGTATACAGTGCCTTAGGTAATTTATTTTTTCAGTATTTATCATCTTACATAATATCAGGCCATGATTTTGTTAAGTACAAAGGATTTCTAAAGCAAGTTTCGACTTAAGTTAAATATTTTACCACAAACTACCCCGAATAGATGATGAGATTTTGAATTAATATTTATAAAACTAGAATTGTCAATCAGAATTTTGCATTTCCAAGAACGGAGTACTATCTCGTACCATTTCCTAGATGACGATGGGTTGGAAAGCCTACAAATATAAGTCTACTTTGTACAACTAAAGCAAAGCTTTTTTAGTAGAAACGCAATCGGAGGTTTGCCAGCCAAGTGGTTATATTTTTTTAAGTTATTCAAAAGCTGAGATCAAACGCTAATGGTAGTGCGCACCCCTAACCATACTACGAGAAAGTTTTATCAAAATATCATTAAAAATGTTAATGAAACACCCTGTATAAGAGTGCTTAAATACAATACATATAACTACTATGTCCATAAATACTGGTGTGTTGGGTAGAGAAACTGGCAGGTATTTTACCATTCTCCTGCACACTGCGCTCACCTAGCGTTGTGGTTATTTAACTAACAGACGATCGATGCTCATTAAGATCGTGAAACCAGTTTTTGAAGCTGCTTGGCTTGAGAAGCAATTTACTATGTACTACAAGCATACACAGGCATTATTATTAATATGCATAAGTATGTGTGTATACTTGTATACAAGTAATATGCATTTTTGAGTGAATGGTGACTGTCACCGCATAGAACCATTTTTTCCACAACGAAGAAAATTCCAAACTGGTTCGGAATCGTTATCAATTAAGCACGTTAAAATTTCAAAAATTTTAGCTTAGTTGCTGTGATTTATTTTTCAAAATATTGAATGTATTTTTAGTAAAACTAGTTATTAACGATTTTACTGGTTTATTACCGTGATGTCGTCTTAGGTGTTAAATGTGTAGATCAACAATCACTCGTCAACAATCGCGATCGATAGTGTAATAACAAACGCAATCGACAGCAATAATAATAACCGTAAAGTTCCATTTGTCAGTCACATGGTGAACTCTATTATGCTCGTGACGAAAAATGCGCGCAAAATATATGCAATCAAACTGTAATCGTTCTATTCGTTGATTTGTATGGAGAAACTATTTGAATAGTATAAGTAGTTAACCCGAAAATATGAATTGTTATAAATTCATACTCCTAAGTCTCCTTTGTCATATCGGATTTTAAGGCACTTGCTTTCTTTAATGGCTCTGTAACTAATGATATGTGATCGTGTTTTAATCTGCCGTAATTTTCATTGCCCAACGCGAACAAGTCAACGTAAGCCGATAAAATATTGACCAGATGACCAGATGGGGCAGCAGTTAAAACTTCTTTATGTTAGATAGAAAGCCAAACAGGTTAGAGCTAAATATATATAAATGATCAGGATGACGAGGCGAGTGGAAATCCAATTGAATGTCTGTTCGACCGTACGTCTGTCTGTGCAAACTGTAACTTGAGTAAAAATTGAGATATGTACACGTGTTCCTTGGTCAAATTAGGAAGAGAAGTTCGTAGATGGATGTAATCGAACAACTGCCACGCCCACAAAACGCCATTAATCGAAAACATATAAAGTGTCATAACTAAACCGAAAATAAAGATACGAAACTGTAATTTGGTATAACGCATTTCATTAAGAAAGGATCACCTGTGGTTTGGAAATGATTAGAAAGTGGGCGTGGACCTACCCCCTATAAGGTTTAATGTGCATATCTCCCAAACTATTCAAGATATAACACCCAAATTTGCGCATGACACATCATTTTAACGCCTCTTGCGACGACGGGAAAATAAGTGAATTCAGATTCTAACCACGCTGACTTTTCATATAACGGTTTTGTTAAAAACTACTAAAAGTATGATAAATCAATTTCTAAACGCACATTTAGGTGGAAACTCATATCTCAGGACCTACTCAACTGATATCGAAATTTGGTTTATAATATTATCTTCGCATTATTATATTCATATATAAGTATATATAAAATGAGCAAAATCAGACTGCAACCACGCCTACTTCACATATAGCACAACGTTAAATTGCATCTGTTTCTTCACTTTTCAGTGTACAAATCAAGCGTCAATTAATATTATATATCGGGATAAAATTTTGCACAAATAATTGGACCATAACTATGCAAGCCAACAGATACCGGAAATGTGGACTCCAGAGCTTATGGCTGACTTCTTACCGAAAATATCGATCAATGTATGAGATATATAGTTGAAATAAGCAGAGAATAGCATCGGTTGAATCCGATCAATATTTCACACAGCTCTATATTCCTTATAGAAACATTTTCGAACTTTCGGCTGACTCTTTACCCCATATATTGGCCAATATGTAAGTTATATTAATTAAATTTAGTGAACGTGTTTTGCTCCTAACGTCGAACCTCTGTTCTTAAAATGAATAAAATCGGGTGAAAACTTGCTCTAGCCTCGATATAACTAATATTAGAATTTTCAAACATCCGGTTGACTTTACTCCTTATATACAGTATATGTACCTACATATTGTCGATGATATGTGAGGTACCTTAATGAAACTCAGAGAGCATCTGTGTCTGTTAATAATATGTAGTTATCCTAAAAGAGATAAAATCGGGTCAAAACTACACCTATCTCTCATATATGTACCTAGAAAAAGATTTTCTAACTTCCGGTTGGTCTTATCCCGTATGGGTCAATATATTTATAATATCAAAATTAACTGAAAGTATAATGTTAGATGTATTATGTATAGTTTAATGCCGAAAATATGAGACTTAAGTCTTCGAAATATCCCAACTCCCAAATACTATATATAACACAGCTTTACAAAAACAAAAATTTTTTTGTTGCCCTGGATATCTTACCAAATTTTATTGCTTTTAAGTGCCCGGATTACGACCTTATTCAGGAAAATATTGAATGTGCTATTGTTTTTATAGTAAAATAATTGCATGTCTAATATTTCGGTAATCATCGGCTTGTTATTAATAAAAATTTAGTCTTCCAGTCCTGATTAGGGTTCTGCGCACAGGGTTCTTACCGAAAATATGCGAAAAATTATGAGGAAAGCTTAAAGCTTCTAACAACACAAAGCTTTGAAATATCTAGAATTACAGTCTACCAAATGTCTTGTTTAACTCAATGAAAAATTCGCTTTCGCTTAAAAAGTAATTCGCATGGACTACCCAGAAGCAATGATGTCGCCAAATCAGTACAGTGTACCATTGGCTGTGAAGAAGGTGAAACATTTAACCAAAATAAATTTTTCAAAATGAACTCAGTGATTTATTACGTGATCGAGTAAGGAATGATAAAGCAGTTTGAGTATCAACTTAGACTATAACCGTAATGATCTGGATAAATTTTCGGATAATTTTGGAAATTATAGTAAGGAGCAGAGAGGGGTTCAACCAGGATCTAAAAGTGGTGGAAGGATGGTATCAAGGTTGTTGTTGGAAATAGAGATTTAAAAATAAACGAGAGTAAATCTTAAAATACATCGATAGTTTCATGAACTGTAGACACAAATATATCCAAAATCGATGTTATATCTAGGGCAACAAAACCATTGTAGACTAGTGTAATGAGCTTCGTTATTCTAACAAAAGTTATGCCGAACATTTCGTTCAGTGTGTGAGTTATATATTTATAAAATTGCTTGAAAATAAGTTCTAAAGTATACCTCAGCAATGTCAAAACTAATTCAATCAGCACATCCTGAATATGAATAAATTTGATCTAGACCTTAGTCTAAACCATATATGATTAATGTAATAAATTCCTATCCTCTTGTTGACGTTTTGCACATCACCTCAATATATAAAATTTAGCATCTTCTATTAAGTTTGTGTTAGATATATCTTATTTGATTTACTTTTCGCTGACGTGAAGTAAAATATAGAAATAAAACTAAATGAGTCTTGACCTAGAATATAACTTAATAAAATAGCAAATTTGATTGTAGTTCATTTACGATTTCATCGAACAATCAATACTAAATTCTTTGGCAACAATTTGAATATAAAGTTTTGCCAACCCCTAAAGGTATTTCTTCGGCTTTGATTCATGCAAGTTACAAGAGTGTAAAATGTTCGGTTACACCTGAACTTAGCCTTTTCTTACTTGTTCAATTGAAAGTTATTCCATGGAATTGACATCAACCCTATGTTATTATAAAGCGACCGAACCAACAAAACGGTGAAGCCATTTGAAAAGACCTTTTGTTATTTTAATGGACCTCACAACTCACGAGATTTTTCATCGTCGACTAATATCTGTCCTTAGATAAACTGTAGGTATCCCAATCAACATCCTTATGTTAAATTAAACAAGAGGGTGGCCAAGTCGATTTGTTTATCTATAACAGCAGTCTCAAAGATGGTAGTCACTAATGAAGAGTTCGAATTACAAAGTATGCGAATTTGAAAGTATCCCTAAATTGTTGCATAGTATTTGAGTTTTGTACTCGGAAGCTCCATCTATAATCGATCGCAAAGTTTCAGTAATTTAAAATAGACCACAACATAACTTACCAAATCTTGTACTAACTATACTATATACTCAAGTATATTTTTCTGACATAACTAAATTCGATGTTAGTGGAAGGAAAATTCATAGTTTCCCAATATAAATAATTAAAAATGCAAATTAAAAAAAAATATGTTTATACCTATATTAATAATATTTATACTTTATGAACCTAAATACTTTTCTAATTACCTTCTTCGAAAATCATCCGTTTGATCTTGATATATATTGGCAGCGCTGCCATGATGCGATCGTACTTGTGGTAAGACATTATGCGAAAGTGATAATTCTGTTGATTTTTTCAGATCCTGTCGGCTTCTACTTATTTGTTCACTAGACGGATGCATCGTATGAGAAGTTGGCGTTTATATAAATACATCTATACCACTCCTCAATAAATTATTGCTGGAATGAAAATAACAATACCGTTTTGAACAAAATGCTTCACTAGTAGTGAAAAATATCATTGTTATATAAAATTAGGTTTATTATTAGTAAACATTTATGTTTAGTACTTGGTTTAGTATATAGTCGCCAATTTGAATCTAGTTTCTTTGTTAGTTATATGAAATTTGGTTCTCATCTCAAATTCTTTACAACAACATACAACAATTCGGCCAAAGATTTTCAACATAGCAGCATTCCTCTATATTATTTCGCTATAACAACAACAAGTTTGGATACATCGCTAAAGAACTAAATAAAAAACATTATCCTTAATGTCTAGTGTTCAGAGATAGAATTGTACTAGAGCCAGTAAAGAGGCAGACAAGAACGATAGAAATGAACCACTTTAACAATTAGTTTAAGTTAGCAAGCAAAGTGGAGATAATCTGATAGTTCTAACTACCTATAATGTCACTAGTTTGCAATCCTGTTGCGACTATTCTGTTAGAGGCTCTTGCTAATTTTGGGTTGATAAAACCGAAAATGATAGTAAAACGGGGTGGAGGGTTCAAACCACCACCATTTACCTAATTGACAAAAATAGCTATACGTGCTGGAAAATATTTGAACTGAAATTCGAAATCAGGACACCTCATACCCCCACATACCTCTTTGCACATCAGACGCAAATTTTTTCTTCAGATTTGTTGAGTAGTGTAATCAAAATTTAGTGTAGTTTACCACAATTATTTGAATGGCATAAAGCATTTAGTGAAGGTTGTGAAATCATCGAAAACTTGCCTCATTAGATTATTATAAAATTATTGTAATAAAAAAATTGGAAGTTTTTTCAAGAACGCTTACAAAATAAGGCGTTAGATTAAATTGAATTGGAAGTTGTATCCAACACTTTGAAAGTCCTTAACCTTCACCAATTTTCTGCAAATGAATAAAAATAGAAACATACACCTATATATACTACATACATATGTACATATGTATATGAGTATACAGGATTGAGTACATAAAATATTGAACTTGAATCCAATGCTCAAAAAATAATATTTTCCTTCTGAAAATTTTTTTATCTCAGTGTTTTTTGTTTTTTAGCTGTAACGCACACTTACATACATACGCACGTATGTATCTATGCGCCACATCTATGCCGCTGTGCATAAAAATAGAACGATTTCCGCGAATTCGAAATGAATAAGGAAGGATAACTACTCACCGTTGGCAAATTGACACTGATAGGAAACACTTTCAACACCAACACCACACTACAGCTGAGCGAAAAACACAAGCGCACAAACGCAAGCGCACCAACCACTGCGTTGAGTATGTTTGTGTGTACACTACTAGTATAACAATTTAGAATATTTTAAAATGCGGTTATGCGCTGTGGGTCCGGCATTAACACGGATTTCTATTTATTTAATTGCTTTTCGCAATAATTATGACTTTTATTTCACTTTTCTACAATTTTCATGCATTAAAAACACGCTTTCGATTTGCCACAGAATATTGATTATATAAATACACAAACAGGACTTTGCGCTGCGGCTCTCCACACAAGCAAAACGGCATCCAACAAAAAAATATAGGCAACACTGCGGGCCCAGAGCACGTTCTCCGGCTAAAATAAAGCACTTAACAACCTTCACTTCCAGGCTTTGCGCAACTTTTTTCAAAAATTTATGCTTTTTTGGAAAATTAATGTTTTGTTTTTTATTTAAAATTATCACTTTTTCGTATAGATATTGCAGAGATATATAATTTTTTTTGTTATAGCTGCTTGCAACTATGTTATGGATTTTACGATTTCTGGAATTTTAGCCAACAAACACAGCGAGTCGCCACTTTTTGTGTAGATATTGCCTTTACGTATGCCGTCGTATTCACCATGGCTTCCTTTACTCATTGCCGTTGGCTCTTTCTTTTGCTCCTGCTTATTCTGCTTCTTCTTTTGCTTCGTCGCTTGATTCTTTTACTGCCACTCTTACTGCCACTACCACTTTTAATTCGCTTTGCTGCTGCGGCTGCTTTACGCCAACATAAAATCAATATTGACCGCACAGCACATTTTTCAACTCACTTTTCCTGCACACCAAGCAAATTACACCAATTATTTTTTAAATGAATTATTTTCAAAAATATTATTTCGAAAAAAATATTCACAAAATTTCCATTTAAATGTTTTAGCGCTCCGAACCCGTTTATATACGTATATATGTTATATATGTATGTGTGTATATGTTTAACCGTTTAATCAGTAAGCGTTTATGTCGTGTATCCGCGTGCTCTCCGGCGCCAATCCAACTACTGAACCAAACGGCCAAAGTAACAAGCCATGTTGCTGCCTTCTCAGCCTGGCATCTCAAACAATGTTGTTGTTCACGTTGTTGTAGTTGTTCTTATTGTCATAAATGTTGGCTGTGCAGTGGTTAGCGCTTGGCCAAATCGATAGATTGCGCAGCGAGTGGTAAGATTGTGGAAACGAAACAAAACAAAGAAGTGGAAAGCAAAAAACCTCCGTGGAAAATTGTTTGCTTCTTGGTGGTGGCTTTTGTTTCCTGAGAGCGCCAGCAACCAGTTTTGTGCTGTACTAAGAGGCTGTTGCTCAAATCCAGTTTTGAGCGACACCTCACATGCAACATACATACACACACACACACCCATACACCTGCATACAATGGGAAACCAACAACAAAAGTTAGAATCATGCGCACTACCGTCATAACCCACGTTCAATAGCCAGCCAGTGGAGGAACTAAAAAAACTAAACAACAACAATGAATTGTAGATAGATAGGTAATTCTCTACACCCTCCGTTGCCATAGCGCGATGTGGTGGAAATATTTTTGGAAAATATGTTGTTGCTGTCAAAGCCACTGAGCTTCGGAGCGCCGAATTGGCGCTGAGCCGAGTTTGTACGCATACTATCGAAGATTCATATACACACATATTTACCAATACATTCACCAATAGACTCACCAAAACAACGGTAAGCAAATGCAGGTATCAGATCTACACCATTGAACTCCAATTAAATACCTCAAGCAGCAACAACAAACGAGAAATGCAAATGCAGCATGATTGTACAGGGGGCTTTTTTGGAAAAGTATTATATAGAATTTTTAAATGAAAATGTGTTGAAATTCGTCAACGATTGTTGGAAAAGGGAACATATTAATTTTTTTAACAGGACAAGTTTTATGTTAAAATAGATTAAAATAGCTTTAGTCGATTTAAGCTTAGGTAGGTATTTTGACTTCTAGTGAAATTTCACCTACCTATTTTATGTAAATTTTATCCGAATTCGAAGCCACCAATTCAAATTTATTGTATTACTACTACAACTTTTGTTAAAAACCTAAGGTGGGACACTTAATATTTCATAACCTCTCTATTTTCTAACCTCTATTTGATGCAATTGATTAATATTCATAATATGTAAAAGCTTTAAAATCCAATGCAATGCTAAGTCTCAAATAATTCACTTAGGATAACTTAAATTGTCCCTATTAACTTATGACATCTTGTATTAGTTCTACAAATGCCATCGGAGTCTTCAATAAGAAACAATCTATGTAATTTAACGCTTAATTCTAATCCCTAGTTACTAAATGTTAAAACATCAAAGCTGGGAATGTTAGCGGTGTTAGAAAGAGTACGTGCTTTCTGTTTGTTCAGCGAAGATCTTCAGTCTAAAGCTCCTTTTTCCGATTTTTGTAAGGTAGAACTAACGAATATGAGTTTGAGGTTATTAACATCAATAGATTGGGAAGCACCGACAATTGTATATTCTTGAAAAATAGTACAAGTAAGCTAAGAAAGATTTTCAAAGTCAAAATCGTATAAATCGTATACAGGTGCAAGTTATATCAACTTTATGTATGACAAAATTAATCGATCAACGGTTTGTATCCAACGGAAAACGTTTTACTAATTGTATGTAGTCTTTCCAGCCACGTTGTTCGATATAATCAACTTACTAGTCGAATTTAGGTTATTTAATAAGGCAAAACGAATTTTCCTGAAGATCTTTATCATGATTTTGATCGGTCAGCTTGTATGACATATTTATGCCTTAGTAGTCCGATCTATACAATATTTTTGGATACTGTAGCGCATAGGATAATAATTTATTTATTAAAAAATATATATAATGATTCGATATCGGCGGTTTTGACAAATGAGCAGTTTTTTGAGGAGAAAAAGATTTCAGATCAATATATCAAAAATTGAAAAACTAATAATTTATATTTATATTTATACTTTAAAAACCTCCGATGTTCCCTTCTAGGTGTTACAAACTTCGTGGCCAACTTAATATATCCATTTTAGAGTATACAAAATTTATTGGAAACTTGGTATTTTTCGAATAATTGCACAAAATTATTCATGTTATGGAATAATCCTATTTAATCCTACTTGAAAACTCAACTATACTCACTTAAATTATGATCGACAAGATAGATCACGCTATTTGAACTTGTATTAATTTTTTTTAGCTCGAGACCAAATGCAATTATAGAACCTGCGGAAGCGTTTTGTTATATGAAGCACAAGTTTCAATCGAATTACTCGAAACCGTAGTTATGTCATTCGATTGTTCGTGGTTTTGAATTTCGACCTAGACAAAGCCTAAACTTATAAAAAAAACCTTTTACAACGCCCCTCGGATCATATAGCCGGCATTATAACAGGCTCCTCATGAGAATAAATTTGGGAATGGTTTTTACACCTCCAATAAGAATACATGTAAGAAAGACTATACTGAGACAGCTAAATACTTTCAGGACCTAATATTTACACTTTATAGAAAAAGGAAGTTCGACTAAAGCATCGAAATGTCGTAACAGTCTTGTTATTTCAATTTATTGCTTGGATATGCAGTACTTCAATTTAATTTAAGAATTCTTATTCCTTAAAACGTATTCAACCACTGTAACCCCTTTTTCAAAAGAATGCACTTGATTTTTTGTACATACGTTTAGACATAAATATTGACATACTTATAAACATATAATTTCCATCATATTACCTGCAAATATGCTGACAGCGGTGCTCATGCATAAAAAGGTGTCCTCTCATATCTGCTTGTAAAAATACCATATGTATGTAGGCATGTCTACAAGTGTGTGTGCGCTCACACATGTTCTCTTTGTAGAATATACAATGTAGAGACATTCATCTGCATTTTACCAACATTTCAGTCTACTCACCACGACTTTTGCGCGTAACTCTAATTGTTTGGTAGTACCTGGCAGGTATGTATTAACATAAGTGCATGAACCCAGCGACAAGTGGAACTCAAATATTTATTTGTATTTTTGGCCGCAAAGCCTAAGTTCGAAATTCATCTAAGTTATTTCATATGCATATAAGAATAATTCATTGATTTTCACATGATTTCCAAATAATGGCTTTTCTAAAAAACCTTAAAATCTGCGTTTTTTCAGCGAAGGCCAGAACTTAAAAAACATTTCATTCCAACGGTATCGGAAAGTATGAAACTATGCTTACATTGATGTTGTTTATAGTTACGCTTGAATGTGTTTAACTCAAGCTCCACCCAGAAAAGTAGTGGTTTTAATAGGTGCTTGATCTCCAGTAAATTTTAATTGGCGTTTCCTTGGAGTGAGTGTATTGAGGATCCATGTATTGTTCAAAACTACAAATTCGTGCAAAAAGTCTTGGCGATTCCTTTCGACGCAGTTAATAGCCCATTGAAATATGTATATTCAAATTACAAAATAGTTCCCGATTTCCTTGCCGTAGCCAATGAAATATGTACATTTGTGCATCCGAAAAAATCTGTTAGAACTCTCGTTGAATTATCAAATTATAGTAGTAAGTAGTAGTTAAATTATTTTCCACCGATGTCTTTTAACATAATTTGGTGGCGTATCTACACTCACCTGGTTGAAAGGTGGAATATTTCAAGGTCCTCAAATACGGCAATTAATGAACGATACAAGTCAAGATTAAAACTGTTCCGGAAATTGAAGCTTGGAAAAGGTGTGTGTTGATAGTAGAAAATTTTCTAGGCAACCACTGAGTACCGAATTATGAAGAAATTGTGCAATATGCTTACAAACTGTCAGACTCTAGGAGCAAATTTGAGCATCAAGTTAGACCATCTCCGTAAAAATATGGATACATTTTCGGATAATTTTGGAAATAATAGTGAAGGTATCAATGTTGATGGGATCGTCACATGATGGCAGATTACTGATAGTTTTTAAAAAAGATTGTGGACTGGAAAATTATAAGAGAAAAGCCCATAAAAGACGTTTTATTAAAATATGACATACAGGTTGGCTAACATATAGCACAACTAGCTCCAAATTTTTTTTTTCTCAAGTTGGTACATCTGGCGTGAGAACGTACAAAGTTGCAAGTCATTCTGTCAATTAATTCTTTACTTACAAGCCATTTGAAGTTGACGTGACAGAGTATTTTTTTAATATGAAAAAAAGAAAATATTGCAAAAAGCAAAGGAAATTTATAAACACTTGTTAGAAGTGTATAAGGAGTGCTGACCTTCAAAACGCTCCGTTGAATTTTGGGCTGATGAATTTAAACGTGATCGTACTAGGCCTGAAGACGATCCACGCGAAGGACGACCAAAAACCGCAACCACACCAGAAATCATTGAGCAAGTTCATAATATTGTTAGTGAAGATCCAAGTTTGACTAAGTGTGAAATTGCTAATGCCATAGGCATCTTAGACGAATGAGTACATCATATTTTATATGGAGAATTACATATGAAAGAGATGTTTGGAAAGTTTGTGCCTCACATGTTAACAATTCAACAAAAACTGGATCGAAAACAAATTTCTCAGCATAATTTGGAGCGTTTTAAGCAGAACAAAACCGATTTCTTGCGTCTTTTATAACTATAGACTTGGAACTACCACCATGATCCTAAATTGAAACAAGAACGTTTACAGTGGACTGAAGTTGGTTGTTCAGCTCCAACGATCAGCAAAGAAGGTTATGGCATCAGTTTTTTGGGATGCAAAAAGAAATTTGTTGATTGATTATCTGCAGTTAGGTAAAATAATCAACTCTGAAGATTATTGCAGCCTTTTGGGTCAGCTAGATGAAAAAATTTGTGACAAAAGATCTAGTTTGCAGCACAAAAACATCATTTTTCATGAAGACAATGCACCTGCTCACAAACGTGTTTTAACAATGACACAATTCAACGAATTTAAGTACGAATTGCATGAGCATTCGCCGTATTCACCAGGTTTGGCTCCCAGCGACTACTACCTTTTCAGAAACCTGATCAAATTCCTTCGCGTTTTTCGTCGAATGAAGTAGCTATTAGAGCCGTAGACAGGTATTAGGGATGGCGTAAAATTAGTGGAAGATAATTGGAATAAGTGTATTGAAGTTAAGGGAGACTATATTGAATAAAGAAATACAATTCGTACCAAAAACAATATTTTTTCATTTCGAGCGCAGAAATTTTTCAACCAACCTGTATGTTTTCGACATTTATCTCTCTGTTTACGATACCTCTTTATTTTTCACAAACTGATATTACAAAAATTTCAGTTATTTGTTTCATGTTTTCTGATTTTTGTAACGTAAAATGAAAAAAAAAGATTTAAAAAATAGTTTCATGAACTTCAAAATTGAACTTATGTATATCTAGGGCAACAAAACCACTGTAGACCAGTGAAATTAATAATATCTTACAAACAACAATATTACATATTTTATAAAAGAATATACAAGCTTGTTAGGTGTTACCCACCGTTAATAATATTTTAATTCGTTATAATCAGTGGGACTTTAAACAAGGAGAATATATCAATGCCTGTTACTTGTGCTTCATCTTTTCAATATCCAAGGAAAGCATTGATTGACAGAAAATCTTAATTGTCTGAACATTTATTCAAAGACCTAATGACATTAACTTACCATTAAAAAACCTAAGTGAATCATTGAATGACATTCATGAGAGCATGGTTGAAAATCACTAAATATTCCCAAATTTGACAATTAGATGTTTTTCGATGCGATGTAAGATGGTGTCAATTAATTTTTCGTTCTTAGTATAACAATTAAGAAGTGTCTTTGGATACCTGAAAGGACATGAATTTACATCAGATACAGCCGGCTCAAAAAAGTCAGCGACTGCGCTGTGTCGATTAAATACAATTGTCTATATTATAAGAATTCTCCAAGCGATATTTTTTCACTTACTAAAAGTGTATGTATGTATGTAGAACAATTATATGAAAAAGATAAGGCAACGATCTCACGATTTTGTTGAACTTGTGAAAACATGATGTACTTGTAGTTTAACAATCTTAAGCCACGAAAGGATCTACGAGATTGATACAAAAGTTAAGGAAGTACAGAGGTTTTCTAAAAACATAATGTTGGAAAATGTAGAATTAAAAAATATAAGTTTTGAAGCACTGTTTTCTACTTTACCAAAATGAAAAAAAACACAATGATTCTTTATCTTAGACTTTTATTAAATCAAAAAACTGAATCAAAAATAAAGAAAACGCTTATAATTCGTTAAATATTTCACGCAACTTCGTAATACGTCGGCTTTTTAACCATGGAAGACGAGTAAGTGTTAAATCAGATTTTTAAGCAGCATATGCGTAATCCTATGGTTCTTACAGAAAAGAAAATACTTGTCCACGAATGTATGGCCACCTGTGCAAATTCCATTGGCGCGGAATCGTACTACTTGTAACACCGTTTCTATTACTGCCACTTATAATACCAAGCTATGAAAGGGTATGCAATGCATTCATCACCGTGGTCCCATAATTTATATGTTTGAATTTTTATTTTTGTAGCACTTGCGTTGCCTATACATATTCTCTCTCATGTCCATCTATTGGCTAACAACTGCTGTACCGTTACAAGTGACCGGTTTATTGCCATTTGTATTGCTGCCATTTCTGGGCCTTATGGTAAGAACTCTCACAGTTATAGCCGCCCTTAGCTAACATATGGTACATAGATAAATATTTCGTTTTTAATATTTGAAGGATTCGACTCCGGCGTGTAAACAGTACTTTACGGTACCGTTAGTTATTTTCATAGGAGGCGTTATGGTGGGTCTAAGCATCGAATCCAGTAATTTGGGTAAACGTGTGGCGCTCGGTTTATTAACAATGCTGGGTGTTAGTCCAAAGCGGTAACTATATAAATATAGTTATATAAATTTATTACCTCCCGAAATTATATTTCCAATTTAATTCAAAGTGTCATCCTTGCTCTCATATTAACCACTGGTTTCATCTCCATGTGGATGCAGAACACAATGACTACGGCATTGATGTTACCCCTAGTGAAGGCAATACTCGACGAATTTGAGTCGGTAAGTTGGTCAAAAAAACTTTGAGCTCTGCACGGTTTATGATTTAATACCGTTTCTAGGGCGGTCTAAGAATCAAAGAGGACAAAAAGCCTGAACAAGCCGAGGAGTGCGTAAAATGTTTTTATAAATTGGTTGATTATTTCTTGAAATTCAAAATTTTGTTTACAGAAATAGAGAGTCCTCACATATTGCCACCGGTTATTACTTGGCTGTATGTTATTCGGCAACGATTGGTGGCTGTGCAACTTTAATTGGTACTTCCACAAATATAGCAACAAAAGGTATATATGAAAAGTGAGTATTGCTTGAAGCCTTTGAATTAAAAAAAAGTAATATTCGTAATTTTTCGTAAGGAACATCTGTGATCATTAGAGGGGTACACCACTTATCTTGTTATCATTTTTTGTTGGTTTTCTCCAACTTTTTTGCTTTGCATTGTTGATTGTAAATAAGATTTGTCTGGTTTAAATATTTACTTTTACTTTTAGTTTATTTGTGAATACCACGGACATCATAGACTTCCCCAAAGCGTTGGCATACAATGTTCCTTGGGTGCTAGTAGCCTTGGTGCTCTTGTACTTCACACTTTTAATGACACATTTCGGTCTTTTTCGTCCAAAAAGTGAAACCGGTGCAGCACTTTCTAGTTTCACAAAAAGTTCTAACGATATTGCGACTGCGGTTAAACAGAAATTCGAGGACATGGGTCCGATGAGCATTCATGAAATCCAAGTTGCTATAGTAACTGCACTCATGATATTTTTACTTACATTTCAATCACCTGGAATTATAACGGGATGGGCTGACCATATGAGTAAGGAAGGGTGAGTGAAGTTATTTTTAAATACAATTGTTTTTTAATATTTCGGATTTATTGTAGTTATGATAGATGATTAGTGAGAGAAAAAAACATTTAACTTGGTTTAGTATTATTATTACGTGTTGAAACACTTGTTCCATCTGTGTATCTTTGCCACATTTCCGATATTTTAGACAAGTCAGTAAGATTGGCAGCAAATGGTTGGGATAGATCATTACGACTTATCCGCGATCGAGATATAGCACTTGGATGATTTGGAGCCGCTCATATATTGTGAAAGCGTACAGAGCTCAACACAAATCTACCAGACTAAGCGACTAACTTTAATACCAAACAAGTCGCATGTTATCCAGGCAACTGTGACCGTTAAGACTGGACAATTTTTCCCTTTTCCTCATTTAAACTAAGGGCACACAATCTCTAACTAGTTTGAGCTCTGTGGCAATAACGCTTCGCTGCTATCGAAGTGAGCGCCTTCCTGAATAAGGCGACATTTGAAAGAAGTTCATTCACAGCATCCACATCTGCAATACTATAAAATACGGCAGGCTGGAACTACAATTGAAAGATAGTTTCCGTTATGAGACACTCCAACTACATTCTCCATTGGTTTAGTAAAAACATTTATATATCTATATCTTCTATGAAGATGGGTATTGGATATATAAAAGTTCAAACTATTATCACGCCCAATCTAGGAAACTCTTCATTTTGAAATTTCTGCATTTGTTTCTTTTTATCCAGTTATTACATTTCGTTTCAGTTTTATTAAAGGAGCTACCCCAATGATTGCCGTGGTCGTGCTGCTCTTTTATTTTCCAGCAGGATATACATTCTTCAAATTCTGTTGTGGCAAAGGTAAATTAACGCCTATATTATACAAAATATTAAAAACTTTCTAATAGAACCTTTGTACATACTTTTTTTTTAGGCCCTTTCCCACATAGCGCTGAGAAGCCTTTACTCTCATGGAAATACGTTAATAACAACTTTCCTTGGGGCATCGTTTTTGTCTTAGGTATATTCATAACCAAATATTATATATTATATGTATATACCTATATATATATATATATATATATATATATATATGTATATGCATATAGATATGCTTGAAATTATATCTGATATATAATATGTGTAAGTATCGCAGGAACTTGGATACTCATGTCGTTTTACATTTCCAGGTGGCGGTTTCGCGTTGTCAAAAACATTTATTCAGTCAGGGTTATCTCTGTGGCTTGCTGATAAAGTGTCTGTATTTAACGGATTGCCACTTCCGATTTTACAGTTATTTTCTCTATTGGTTTCGGCATTTTTAACGACATTCACTTTGAACACGGGCGTGTGTAATATAGTGGTACCAATTATAGCCGAAATTGTAAGTAAAGCACAACATTGGTGAGAATTACTATGATTATATGCTTATCATTTGCTCTAAATCTAAAACTATACTTGTGGACGTACACAGCTGTAATTAGATCTATCAAATTTCGGTTCACACTTTGTGCAAGCTTTTTGTGCTCACATATTTGATTCAAAGAGGCTTTCAGATCGAAGATGAGAATAGCAAAACCAACAATATGGTTATAGTGAGAGCTCTCACAAATGAATAGACAGCCAAACTTTATTCCCCCCGACATAGACTTCAATAAATACTTTCAAATAACGTTTTTATATAGAAAGCCATAGGGAAAAGCTAATGTAACAAGTAAGACTCAATCTAGACAGACGACTACAAAATGAGATGTACACATCCTCTGAGTAAATGAATATCTCTCACTCTCCTTTAAAGAGCTTACTGCTAGTATCCTAGTTTTAATATTTAGCTTAATTTCAGGCACGTAATGCTAAAACGCATCCACTAAATTTGGTATATCCAGCTGGCCTGGGTTGCTGTGTCGCTTTCCTTTTACCCATCAGTACGCCACCTAATGCTCTTGTAGCTGAACAAGCTAACATAAGTTGGAAGAAAATGGCACGTCCAAAACTTATCTATATAATTATTTTTCTTAGTTCTTCTGACCAATAATATCTCACTTTCTTTTTACAGTTTCTTGCCGGTCTAATCCCAACATTTACATCCATAATTCTCATCTATCTGAATTCTATATCTTGGCACTACATTGTATTTCCAGAAACTAAAGACTATCCTGCTTGGGCTGATCTTCAAAAGAAGTAAGGACAAACTTTCAACGGTTCTCATTTCAACGCATTTGAATAATTTATTTTTACGTCATCGCTCGTTTTCATGCTGTTATGTTAAATCACTTGTTAACTCTTATAAAACGAATAAATATACCACATTTCCTTCAGTATCCAAAATGTTTAGACCTTGTTATTTATTTTCCGATCCTGTCTAGAGGTATGTGATCTGTGTATTGTTGTTTCCAAGAAGCAAATTGTTAAGAAAGTCGAATGTAATGGGGAGCTAGAAGCCGTAGAACTAAGTTCAGATAAGTGAAAGGTTAGACTGTTGCTAATTCTGTTACGACAGACGAATTTGCTATCCGTTGAAGAACTATCAGCTTGACTATATTTCCCAATAGTTCTTTACCATAACAACAAAAACAACTGCTATTCATTAGTAATTTCAGAGGATTTGACTCTCAGGGATTCCGATGAAAATAAATAGTTGTGGCCTCTGTCCATATACCATTGTTGTAAATGGTCTCATACTTCTTCATCTGCAATCTGACATTTTGCTTCAAGTATAATGGTATCGCCTTGTTTATAACCGATCAATCTTTTGAGTTTTACGTTATCTAATATCTTTCTTTGTCTTTCGAAATCAAGATAAAAACCTACATTAAAGATCTTTTTATATTTAATATGTTAAGTAACCTTAAATCGTTTTAAAGACGTTTTATATCACACGACGTGGGTAAAAAAATAGCAAAACTATTTCCGTTGGATGCAAACCGTTGACCGGTTACAAGAAAGGTATTAAAGGCCGAAGTTAACGTTTTTTCTTGTCACGTAAATGTCTCATGGGATGCTAACAATGTATGTTCTTTGTAAAAAAAATAGTACCTTTCAATTCTTTGATAATTACTCCTTTCCTCATCAAAACTCAAAAAAGAGGTAAACTTAAAAAAATTCTCTTATTCTCAGTAGGGATCAAGCATCTCCACACATTTACCCATAAAACGCACAAATAAAAGTTTCTAGGCCATCATACCTTTGGAGGAAATTTATGTGAAAAAATAGATATAGGTACATACATACTGGTATATAAAAAAAATATTAAAATAATATCTCCCTTCGTCAATCACAATTATTTTAATTACTACTCTACAGGAAATTTGCTTAAATTAAATTATTTATGGAATATTACTAACCTGCAGGAAATTAGTAAAAAGAAATATTTTTCAAAGTATAGATAATTACTCTTTTCTCAGTATAAATAAAATATCAATTCAAAATAAGTATAACAAACTACTTATTAAGCTCTTAGCTATCCTGCAGGAAATTGGCAAAATAATATATTTTTTAAGCATAAAATAATGATTACTTTGCTCAACAAATCAAGCATCTACTCAAAATACGAATAAGGAATACAAACACAATGCAGAAAATTTGTATGAAACAAAAAATCTATTTTTAGAAATGTTGAAGAATCAGTATGAATATTAATTAAAATTTCCATAAATATATTCTGCAATCATTACCCTGCAGGAAATTTGTAAAATAATTATTTTTAGAAAAGTTAAATATTTACTTTTTACTTCAAAGACTTTTTACTTCAAAACCATTAGTAACCTGTAGGAAATTTGCAGAAAAAATTGTTTCTAGGCTAATTAGTAATACCTAGTGGGTCATTAACACTAGAACTACCAACCGATCAATATGGCCGATTTCAAAAATTCTTCATAAGACTTTTATGTAAAACCTTACTAATTTTTTTTTGATGAGTTTTATGTACATATTCATTAGCACCATATATTTTTTTATCCTCTTCCCCATATTCTTCAAACGCGTATGTAACATACCTAAATACACCAACCGGTCATATTGACCGGTAAAGAAATTTTCATATGCAACGTCAAATTTCAATATGATAGGATTACACAAAATGCTCACCAAAATTAGCATATTCTGCGTATATTTTGGGTTTGACTTTATGATAACATAATTTACTATTATTGTAAAGAGTTTAAATTACTTTTTATTACATTGTTATTGTGCTATGCTTTGAAGTAATGTACCTATACAGTGAAATACTTATTCCTTGTTGCTGATCTTTGTAGGTTGGAATAAATATTTTGATTACTTTGTATCGAAAAATATAAATATAAAAATATTAAGTATCTTCCTTTTTAGTTATAAGACTAGCCCTGAACAAAGCAACAAATTAAAAAAAAAACCTAAAATATTGAAAGCCAATAAAATATTATAGAAGCGATTACCTATCCGATACAGAAGAAGATGGTTATAAGTTAGAGGATTGAAGAGGTAAACAAGTAAGCAGTAGTGATTCAGAACATCACAGTTTAGGAATATCATCATATTCTTATGGTATCATGATCACGAGCACTTTGAAATGTCTGCCGATGGCACAAATTGGATTGATATAAAAGTCCGGAAAGAATGTCCCTGAATACTAATTTAGTAAAGCTCGTGGACATATGTACATATATCGTATGCAAAAATATTATACAATATTTATTAGCATAACGTAAGTAGTAGAAGACTAAATGCACTAAACTTGAAGCTACCTGAGTCTTAGCTAGAAAAATAGGATCTATCCCAAGAAAATTTCTACATTTTTATTGCAATTTTATATGTACGTGGAGCATACTAAGCAATGAACCAAAAATTAACATCTCTATTGTCCGGAAAATGGGGCCAAATTTTAAGAAAGCTTTGAATTGAACTAATTTTACGAACATTTTACAATTGATTCGCTTCGATAAAAGAAAAGAAAGAAGTTAACGCTTGCAAACAAATAAATTTGTCTTGTTTTCTATCAACAACTCTCCTCTACTAAAGCGCGATGTAGATTCATACAGAAATATACATATTCATGCTAAATAAGACGAATAAATTTGGTATACAATTTTGGTTAGTTTGTGATAAAGCTAATTAATATGTTATAAATGGATATCCTTATTTGGGCAAGGACGAAATAAGACAGTTGAAAACGTCTTTGAGTGATGAAAGAAACGTAGCGATGAATAATTTTTTTACTAGCAAGTCATTATCTTTAAAATTATTAGAACAACGTACTTCTTTGGTTGGAACTATTGGGTAAAATAAAGAGTTGCACAGTGGCGGATTTTCATAGATTCTTCAAAAAGAAGCCTTAAAACCGTTCTGCTTCACAATGGCGGTTTCCATACTATCATACTTTTTGTACACTTTAAAGAAACCTACAAAAATTTGGAATTGAGTCTAAAATTACATTTTCTATATTTCCACCTCAACTGCTTTCCACAAAATTTGTGAGATATAAGTAAAGAACAATGTGAACGATTTCACCAAAATATTAAGGAGATGGAAAAAAGATACCAGGGAAGATGGAGAATTTCAATGATGGCGGACTACTGTTGGACGCGTCAGAGACCTTCCACATGCTTCCTACAAGCGAAAATGTATCAAAAGAAGTCTCACTATTTAATGTATGTATTTTAGAAAAAATAAAAAGTTTTGTTACGTCCATTTAAACTTTTTTAGTATTTTATGTTTTATTTTAAGTTAATAACTTGTTTAACATAGGTACCTATATTGTCAGAAAACGTGACGTACTATGAATAAATGAAAATCATTTTCGGATTTAGCACACCCAAAAACATAGAAATTATGTAATAAATTCAAAACAGCTCTCAATTTTTTCTTTTGCAAACTTGTTATATTTTTTACAATGCTACAAAAAATTTATTGAAATATATTTAATATTGTGCGGTCACAAGTTATCCGGTTGACCGGCGGCCGGTAGTTATGGTGTTAATATCTAAATGGAAATTTTCATAATTTTTTTAGTGAAAAATTTTCAAAATATGAATAAAATATAGCTAGTGGGACAGGAAGTCACAATGCAAAAAATGCTCCTTTCCTCAACAAAAATCAATTATCTTCTCAACATACTCATAAAAAGTCTTTAGTAGACTATTACCACACTTTAAGAAATTTGCTTTGACAACTTACATATAAAATACTACTCATCAAATAAATTATCACACTATAATTTAGTATTTATTAAAGTTTTATAAACGAAATGTTTAATTGTTTCGAGGAGTACACCTTATATATGTATGTATATATATGTATTTGGCCGTCGGTTTCAAGCCTTTCGAACAAACCTTTGCTGTGTACTTGCTTTGACTCTGGAAAACAAGCAAATAAATGAATGGAAATATTGTCAAATCTATTTAAAGATAAATGAGCGTAAATACTTCACTGCAGAAGAGCAAAGTGTGTAAAATCTGTGCACTTTTCGAATTTTTGTTAAGAATGAAAGTTGACATGATGCTGACCACTGCACTACGCGGTGCTAAATGAGAGTTGCGCAATAGCATAGATATGAAGGAGCAGAATTTATCCAGTGTGCTTGATTAATAAGAGTTTTCCAAATAAGTTTTAGAAGCTTATCAGATATAGAACGCGCGCAGATGAACCCATGGAATGCGATAAGTTTGTAATAAATATAGAAAGTGTAGAGCTTGGAGAAAAGAAAATGCATTTTTTGTGTTTGTTGTGAAGTGTTTGAGACCACAAGCCGATAGATAGAATTTATTTTTGTTTTTGCTTTAGAAATATTGTAGTATATGGAAGTATGTTTGTGTATGTCTACAGTGGCTAATAAAAGTTCGTAAATTATATTTTTCGCGTTCGGCAATAACACAGAACATGTCATGAAGTAAACAAGTTAGCGGAAAACCTATGTAACATGCCAGTTAGGGTTTTTATTGCTACTTTTTTATTGCTTTAATATTTTTATAAAAATAATTTTCGCTTACATACTTATAATATTCAAAAAAATATAACATTAAATGAAATGTTATGCTTGCATTAATATGCTTTTTGAATAAACCGCAGAGTGTGTGTGTGTGTTGTTTTTTTAAATAGTAAATAATGTAAATGAAAATTTAGTAAATAAAATTATTTTCATGAATTGAGTACAATGAATTATTATAGGTTATAATTATGACTTTTTTCCATTAGAAAATTAGGCATCCTATATAAGTGAGCAAAATATTAACTTTTTTAATGATATGAATTGAATGACAATGCGCTTTTAGTTTGCCGTGCTCCTAACAATAAGGTTAAGAAATTTTTCAATAGAAAACCCAAAAAAACTTACGACTACAATATTTTATGTTTAACGCGTTTGCTTGTGCTGGCAAACAATTGGCTGACAATTTTGCTTTAATTATCTACACAGTAGTTGGGTATCAGTAGGGATTTGTAAAATTCCAATATACTGACGAGACAATCTTTGAGTATACATTGCACGGAAAGGAAAAGGTGGGAGGAGCGATTCACGCCTATGATCAGGAAATAAAAAAATAATAATATTAATGAATATAATTATTAGTACATTATTAAAATATAAGAATACATATAAATGAACAAACATTTTGCGAGAATACGCGGAATACATACATATAAGTAATGTTCTTTAGTCATATGTAGTAGAAGGTGTAAGTACAGCGCTTTAGGCCTAATTAAGTATACATCCTTGTTTCACTTAACACTTAGCATAATTATTACTGGTAGGCTCTAATATTATTTCTACTTGCTAAGCAATTGGCTATTACTACCATCACGTATTTATAGCTAACTAATATATGTACTGGTGTTCATTATATATATTATAACTGTATTTATAACTAATATTATAGTGTATATATTTGTAGTATGTTTGTATATATGTATGTATGTAGTTATATTTCTCAATAACGAGCGTAAGAGCGCTTACAGTTTTGAAGGAAGATCAAAAGATATTCATTAAATGAAATTTTGAAAATTTAATAAGAATTAAAACGCAACTTAAATCTAACGTTAACTTAAGAAATAACAAAAAAAATTGCAAAGTTTAATTATGCACTTTGGTTCATTTTATGATTTTTTTCTTTTAATGTTCCGCACAATTTTTGAATGTTAAAAAGCTACAATAATCGAACTTATATCGCTTTTTACTTGAAAAAATCGATATTATAAAAATAATAACAAAGCTATTTGCCGCCTTGAAAAGTCTTTTACTTTGCATCAGGGTTGCGAATTTTTTAATTCAAAATTTTTAGTCTCAATTTTGAAATTTAATTTTTTTACTCAAACAACTTGCATTACAAATTGGGAAAATATTTTCGAATTTAAAAATTGTAGTAACAGAATAAAAAAAATGTTTCAAATTAAAAGCTGATATGAAAAGGGATAAAAAAAAAGAAAAAATATTCACATATTTCTTGATGAAACGCTATAGTTAAAAGCAATTAAATATAAATAAGCCAAAAAGAGCAAAACTGTGTTGATATTTTATTAAAAATAGGCTTTTATTTTCAAAAGATAACCAAAATGGCGTAACACGAAGTATGTAAGCGCGAAAGTATGTAACTTCAAAAAATATGTTCTTTTTAATTTTTAATTATTAGAAAAGAGCAAAATTAAATTTTTTTATCGGTGTTTGAGACTAAGCATTTACAAATGATAAAATAAAAAAAATATTCCAATGTAATTTAAATTATTTTTTAATTCGTTGTTTGCAACCCCTCTGCATATAAGCAAAGAAGTCCTAAAATGCTTTAAGAGGCACACCTATTGTGAAATTTTGAACAAAATTGTTTATATCGATAGTTTATACCTTTAAAAATTACATACTAAAATTTCAAATCGATATCTCAAATAGTTTTTGAATTACAGCCTACTAAATTGGTACCGCTCGGTTCAATCAGCTCCATCAGTTTATCCAATAACGCATTTTTCTCATTATGTATTGTATTCTTGAAAATTGTAAATATGAATATAATATAACCTGAAAATTTCAAAACAATCGATAAATAGTTTTTTTTGTAATTTCCAAAAACGACGTTTTAATAAGCTGTCACGCTAGGTGTGCCCTTAATGAACTTTTCAACGCCTAAGTGCTCTATGACAGTCATTTCTAAGACACTGAAAGTCTAGTTACGTCCACAAAATTAGTCGTAAAATAACTTTTTACGCCATTATATAACAGAGTTAGGTCTATAAATTAAATTCTTTGATTATAAATTAAAGCAAATTTGGCTTTAAAATGTTCCAAATAATTGATTTTGACAATTTAGTCCTTAGAAAACTACAATATTGTTTATAAAATGTATGTTTGTATATATTGAATTATCATTTATGTTATATAATTGTCATTTATCGAATCATCGATGAAAAATAAGATTATTCACTGCTAATAGTCATTACACAATAAAATATCTTTTCAACCTTTTTGTAAAAAAAAAAATACTTCATTCATAGAAATTAAATTACTAACTTTGAGGTTATGACGCAAGTTTTAATTTTCAAAAACAAATAAATAACCAAAAGAAAGTTTAGCAACCAATTTGCTGTTTCCTTAATACGAAATAATTTATAAAATTTAAGGTTATGACGCAAGTTTCAATTTAAAAATAAAATAATAATAATGAAGTCAACAAATAAATTTGTTGTTTTCATTACTACAAATTCATTTATAAATTTTTAGATTAAGACGGAACTTTTAATTTAAACAAATAAATGAACAAAAGGAAACGAATTAATTTGCCGATTTTTCCAATTAGAATTAATTTCTAAAATTTGAGGTTATGGCGCAAGTTTTAAGTAAATAATATTAATAATAAAGTTTTTTACTACGAACTCATTTTTAAAATTTGAGGTTATGATGCAAATGGCTATTTAAAACAATATATTAAATAGCTGACTACGACTGCTACTAATACGAGCTTTTATTGTTAATTTTAGATATCACTTTATATGTAAGTTTTAAAAAATATATATCGGAAGCATTAATTCATAACAACTTAATTGGCGTTTTTTCTTATTCCCTTAACTAAACTATTTTCTACGTGTTTTAATATATGGTATATAGGATTATATTTAGTTCTTAGCTATATATTTAGAATATTTTTTATGAGCGTCTGAAGAGTTTTCCACACTTTTCTATTTGGCAAGTCACTTTTGAATATTTTGTAGTGCTTTTCATACCGATTTTGCATACCATTCATCTGTGAATTTCCCCAAAAATGAATAAGCCGACTTAAAAACTGTAGGCTTATATAGAATTTATAGATTTTCGTTTACCAGGTACATATCTTACAGTTTTTAATGTCGTCTCATTGCTGAACTCCATATCTATCTAATTCTTATGTTGCTACACTAACAATTATTTGCGCTTATTTATAATGAATGTATTATATTTTTGCTTTACATACTTTTCCAAACCTTAACTATTTAATTTAAGTTATTTTAAGCGATCTTCAAATTCTCGGTTTTCAAGTGATTGTAAGTATTAAATATACAGGCACATACATACATACAAACGTTGGTGTAACTATTATGCTTATATGTTGATTGCACACACTTCCGATATACTAGACGTGAGTACAACGCACGCTGCCGAATACTTTTAATGTAAATGCACACTTCCCTAAACAACAATGACAAACATATGAACATAAATTTGGTAATTATTTTGTTTGTGTGTGTATGTGTATTTGAGGGCGCTCAATTGCGTCCAACTCATTTCCCTGCGCACTTCTAGAAACGTATATGACGCTGCGCATAGCGGCCGTCCACGTCACCACCATTTTCCTCGTCACTGTCCGAGTCGATGATATTGCGTAATGTCAACGCATGGAAATCGTTCAATGTTTGCTCAAACAGATCGATTGTCTGCTGATCAGCTTCGGAGATGACATTCTGTGTCGCATCCAACAGATCTTCAGCTGCATCAAGCAACTCGCGACTACCATGCGCTACAAGCGCCGCAGCGGCAACACTGCCGCCGCTCGTCAAACTTGATGACGTGGATGTGCCAGCCGTGCCGTTACCCGTTGTTGCATAGCCGCCACTGTAATTCCCTGTATTCTCACCACTCATGCGTTGCACGATATTGGCATCGTCTGTATGCTGTTGGTTTTGTTGTTGTTGTGCGGAGGCTGCATTTGCTGCGGCTGTGTTGCGCGACAGTTCATCAGCATGCGCCAACGTTGAGCCAATTATATCGCTGGCTATGCGTATTGCGGCATCGGTGGCGGCAATAGTCGAGATGAAATCACTTGCATTGGCTGGGTGTCGCATGCTATAATAATTGAGTGGTAAACTGAGATCGGAAGAGGAATCGGTTGGCGTATTGGAAGCACCCAGACCAACAGTTATACTTTGTTGCTGTTGTTGCTGATAGATTTGTGAAGCGAAATTCGAATCGGTTATGACGGTGTTGCCCTCGATACGTAGGCCAGCTACACCTTTTTTGGGTATTGTAGCCAGATCACGCTTAACGCGTCGGCAACGACTCGGCTCATTTTGACGTTGTTGCACCATTGTTTCCAGATCGACTACGTAGACATAACCAGCTACTAATATGATGCAGGATTTTTCACCTTTCTTAAAAGCCTCTTCAATATCCTGACTGGTACGATCATCGTACTGCCACCAACCTGAACAATTTCACATAAAAAAGTTTGGTTAAATTTATTTTCAGCAAAATGGGTATGAGTATTTATACAAAAGATTAAATATATATATATAAGTATGTTATGTAAAGTAGTGTATTTGTTTTTGTGTTAGTATTTCAATATTCCAGCTACACCCTTGGTTGGCATATGCTTCGAGCGACAAATGTTGCGTTTACGCGTGGGATTTTGTACTGGATGTTGCACCATATCGCCAAAATCGATGGTGTATATTGCGCCGCAAATGAGTACTTCATGCCGACAATCCTCTTCCAGATCAATCAGACCAGTACCGAGCATGCGTGTCTGGTACGCATCTTCGATATCTTTGGAAGAGCGCGGATCATATGCCCACCAACCGCCTGCGGGAGTTTGTCTTAAGTTTGTGAGTGCAGGTGGTGTTTCAATGTCACTTACCATTACGTCCCTCATAGAACCACTGATAACCGTCTTCGGTGGATTTTGTTGCGCAAATATCATCGATGCCATTCACCAAATCGGGATGGTCTAAAAATTCAGGCGGTATTTCTCGTCTGCACATAGCACAACGTCGATTTTTGTAGGCCACGCCCTAGAAGAAAAAAAAAGGTTTAAAATTGTCTTTTGCTGCGATGACCTATTTAAATAAACGCAAATATCGCTATAACATAAATTAGTTAGAGTATAATATATATTGAATGAATTTTGCTGTAAGAAATATATATACAATTTCTGAACAATAACAAGATTATATAGGTGAAATATTTTTGTATTAGGGAGGATCTTTAGTCATGCCCAATTCCGGTACGACTTCACTGTCTTCAAATTATACTTTTATAATAAATCAGAAGATACAAAATAAGAGGTCCTTCCGCATAGTCTGCGCTTACAACTGGGCTTTTGCTTCAAGCTAAGTTGCATAAAATAATTAAATCATTGCAAAATTAGGTTTGTTAAGTTTGAGACGGAGTTCGTAACACCCAAACGGAAACGCCGGAGGCCATATGAACTATTTATGTAAATGATCAGCGTGATGAGCTAAACCGACTTAGCCATGTCCGTTTGCACATACGTGAACTAGTCCCTTAGTTCTTTAGATATCGATCTGAAATTTTGAAACGCCGAAATCGGACCACTATAACATAAAGCTGTCATACAAACTGAATGATCAAAATTAAGTTTTTGTACTTTTTATTTCTTCTTAAAGTTCTTTATTTTAACAAAATGCCTTCACGAAATTCAGGATGGGTTATTGTCCAAGGCAGCATTACAATTTCTCCAACAAATTTTGCGGGATCGGGCCACTATACTTATAGCTGCCATTCAAACTGAACGAACAAAATCAAGTTATTGTATCGAAACTTTTTTATTTGTGTAGGGTTTTATAACTTCGGTGCAACTTTATTTACACATAAATATGCAAGTATTTAATTAAATTCTTTTAAAGTAAAAGGTCAAAACAGGTAAATAAATTAACTAAAGTGCCTTTCATAATAAGACCTTAGTTTATAGTTAAATCGTATGTTCGGCTGCATATCTTCAATGTCAGCAACTTTATCAGCCTTAAAATGATGATCATTTATAAAGCAACACTAACGAAAATGATGAAGAAGACCGGCCGGCCGGTCCTCAATTATGCAGCCGCAATATGGTCGCCTGGATGTAGTGACACGCAGAATAAGAAGCTCCAGACTTGTCAGAACACTGCACTCCGGACTATCACGGGGTGCCTCTTGATGTCCCCAATCGAACACCTACACAGTGAGGCCCGTATGCTTCCGGTTAAGGAACATAATGAGCTCCTCTCCAAGCAGTTTCTGCTGGGATGTTTTCGCAGAAACCAACCCTGCAGACGCCTGCTTGCAGCGGAGCAGCCTCCTAGGAACATCAAGAGGTCCTTCCTTGACTACGTCGACGACATCAGACAGCACGTCGACCAGACTTCGGACGCAACTAACTTCAGACAAGCACTGACCGCCATTCACAGTGGAGCCATTAACACCTTCACCGACTCCCTTTCAGTGAATGGCGTAATACGAGTCAAACCACCACCCATTGCAGACACAGAGCTCGAGTTGCCTCGCGAATCTAGAGTGACCCTCGCGCAACTTCGTTCTGGATACTGTAGCAGGTTAAACTCCTACCTATCCAGAATAGACCCCGACATACTAAACACATGTCCTGCATGCAATGAGTCTCCGCATGACACTAACCACCTCTTTGCATGCCCTACAAACCCCACTCATCTAACACCCCTTTCCCTATGGTCCGACCCCGTCGAAACAGCTCGTTTCCTGGGCCTTCCGTTAGATGACCTCGACGACAACGAATCTAGAATTTATCACCCTAACGGGGATTAGATAATCGTTATAACAACAACAACAAAATGATGAAGAAAGAGCAGAGATTAAAAAACCATTGATCCGACAAAAATTTTGTGTCTCTAATTTTCTTTAGTTAATCAGGAAATAGGAGCGGCAAAGGTAAAACTTGTATACCAAACCTTTCAACCTTCAAAACCGTTGTCTTCACATTTGACCTTCCATAATAAGCTAAAACGCCACTAACAAACATAGTAAAGTCTGTAAAATTAACAGCATAACCCGTCAAAGACATGACGGTCGCATTAATGAGTAATATGTGGACTATGACGTTGTGTGGACGTGCCCGTCAAAAGTTGAACTTCAAATAATGTTTAATGTGAACTGTGCATAATTAAAATTTCAAATTATTATTCCGAACGAAGCGTTAGGTTTACTTCCCTACACGTGCCAGCAATAGAAACGGCCCTCTTTTTACTAACTTTTGTGCATATTTTATGTTAATATTTATAAATCAAATAAAATCAAGAATAAAAGGTTAACTTCGGCTGACCCGAAACTATAATACCCTTAACAGGTGCATTTAGGGGAAGGGTATAAAAAGATCTTTACTTCGATTTTAATCGGTCAGTTTGTATGGCAGCTATATGTTATATTGGTCATCTCTGAACAACGAGGAGATTGTAGGAATGTAGCTTATCAAAATTGCGAGTCAGCCAAAAACTTTCGGTTGCCGATTTTTATCGAACAAGGAAGTACTAATTTGTATCAAAAATATTCGAAGATATTTTCGCTAAATTTATTGTAGTTAAATATTTTCAATATAGTTAACTTTTAATTGAACGCTTACAGAATTGTGCTGAACTTATAAATTCTTTTGAAGCTTCCGCATGGGTAGAGGAATAATGAAATTAAACACTTGCTGCTATCAAAGTTAAATTTACAATCAAAGCTATTCGCGTAAGCCGATCACGTATCACTCGAAGTTTTCTACAAGTCGTTCAATTAATTATGCATTCGTGCACTTACTATACCCCACTTGCCATACTATTGACGTAGCTACTAGTACGTTAGCAACAATGACAATGACATTTGTATATTTTCGAAAAAAAATAGCGATTTGTTTACTCACTTTCACGCATAGGAAACAAAAGATATGCCCACATGGCAGGCGCGCTGGATGTATACATGTTTGAAGGCAAATTGGGCACTCGATTACCGCTGAAGGTCCTGCAACATCTTCATCATTAGGCGATTGCTCCTCCGGACTGCTATCCACATTTATGACTGATGCAGCAGCAGCAGCAGCTGTCTTGGATGTAGAAGGGGTTGGGCTGGTATTGCATAGATCGATTACGGCATCAGCTGCAGTAGCGTTTTCAACCATTGTTGTTGTAGTTGCTGCTACACTTGATGTTACACACACTGACGTAGCAGGCAATTGCGAATTCGATTCAACCTCGAATGGTACAATTATTCCTGCATTTGCATCGTCGCGCATTGTCATCATTCTGGGTACAGACGCTATGACGTTGTTGCCGTGCTCCAAACTGTCGTTTAGTTCTTCACTTTGCTCCATTCATAAAATTTACACTCTCTTAAATAATATACAACTTTTCACTTTTTATTGCTAAACAATTGCGAAAACTTTTTAAACAATGTTGTTTTATTATGTGCACGTTTACTTATTATTGTTGCTATTCTTGGCTTCACTTCAATTCACTGCGTGTTCCATACAACACAACGTATTAAGTTTCCGACAAAAGGCAGACAGCAGAATTAATTTATCAGCAAATGTGAGGAAACAAAAATTATTTTGATGTTTTCATTTTTTACATATTCGCTTAGGTCTGTGCGATATTCGCCGTAAAATATTGCAAACAGGTGGAGTAGTGACGGATAAACCGACAGATGACGCTGGTGTTTGTTACTAACAATGTTGCCATATCGTTGTATGCTTCGTAATACAACATACATACAGAAAAAAAAGGCACTATAATTTCAAAAGGAATAATTGTTATATGAAAGAAAAAATATTACCATTTTACTTTATATGTATATTCGAGTATACGGAATTTGAAAACAAGTAATTTTTATATAGTTTAAGCCACTTATTATTTTTTTCTTAAATATCGCAAACTTCCGGTTACTCAATCTGGAAACAGAAAACTATACATAAAATGTGGTGACACCAAGAGCCACCAAGGAGCGTCTGCTCTTAGTCGTAAATGATTTACCACCACTTTATAGGTCATATATTACTCATATAAAAGTTTTCAGTTAACTGACTGTATATACCCTGTCCGCCATAACAATTCACTTGAAGTCGGAAACGGAAGGAACCACTCACCACTTCCAGGCATTCAGCTTCTGACGTTTTGCTTATATATTCACTAACATACATACACACAAATAAACGAAGAGCACAGCGAAGAGGAAAGCTTATGAGCCTCTAATTGAATGTCAATAACAAAAACTTGAAATGACGCGCTTTTACTGCGTCTAGCTATTTTAAAAAAAGCTTTCGCTAAAGCTTGTGCCAAAGCTTTTCACGTTTAATGTTGCTGCTGATGCTTGATTAACGCGCACACGGCTGCTGCCGTCCTTGTTCTTCAAATGATTTTTTAAGGCCAAGTGCAAGTGACGAACCAAACTTCGCCTCGTCCGCAACGCGTTCACAACTGCAGCTGTTCGAAAAAATCAAAGTGGTTGTGCCTTAATGGCTATGAGTGCATGTGTGTATGCCATACATGGAAATGAGCACAAAAGAACGTGCAAAACTTTACTTAGTTTTTACACATTCCGCTTTGCGTTGATTTTCGTGAATCCAGAACATTTACGCTGCGCGCACTCCGCGACTCCAGCAGTTACACAGCGCCATAGCTTACCAGCATAACAGCCAAACAGCGCTCCATCACAGCAACAGAGACACCACAAGTATATCCTCATTGACAGTGCGACTGACTTAGTGCTCGTTTTTTATTCTTTTCCTTCTTGTTCTTCCCATATGTGTGTATGTATTTTTTGTCTTTATTTTTAGTATAACGTGAATGTGTGTGTGCCGTATATTCTTGTTTTGTCACTGTGTTTCTGTGTCGCTGCCATTGTTCGTCTGGTTGGTGTTGTTGGTGTATATTTCGTGCCCTGTCTTCTATCGCCTATCGCACATTGTGCGCTGTGTTCCTCTACATTCTCTGGCCTGTGTTCCCGTTCCGTTCGCATTCGTGTCAGTCGAGATTGAGAGTGCGAATTTGGCCTACAGACCTAATTTTCTGTCTGCAGCCAAAACAAACCCAATTAAATACCGAAAAATCGCGTTGAAATTTAAGTGAACTATTTAAATAAACTAATAAACAAGTGCTACGCAATGTGAGGCGACAATTCGATGAGCGCATACAATAAAAAATACGCAATTAAAAAGTAAGCAAGCGTTTTCTTCACCACTTCATTGGTGTGAATTGTGCGAATTGCACAATTGTAGCAAACTTTTTTTTACTGCCGCTTCCACTCTACACCAAAAAAAATAAAATAAAATAAAAGTACACAAATTAAAGTAGTGAAGTTGAGCAATGCCTGGTGTTTAGGTGGCGGAGTGCGGCGAAGTGTGTTAGTAAGGAATTATCGCGTACGCGTTCGGGAGCAACCGCGAGGTGCGCGCTACATACGTTTGGGAGCGTGTGTGTGTGTGTAGGTGCATGTAAAGTAGTTGGTGTTGCGAATAATGTGCATTGTTGTTATTGTGTCATAGGTCTCATATATGTACATATAGATATATAGCTGTATGTATGTATGTATGCACCCCTCCCACAGCCACTAGCGCATTCAGTGCTTCCAAGCTGCTGACATATGTATGTGCACAGCGCTGTGTGCGCGCTTGCAGCTGTGTGTATACGAGTCTCAGGCGGGCGGCGAAGTCAGACGACGAGTCGATAACTAGTTGTGACCGCTGCTGCTACAGCTGCAAGATATCTTTTGAATTGGACTGCAATTTGCAATGCCATTCTGGAGCTTTCGCAGCACTGCGAGATTAGTGTTCCTAGTAATTGTGCGCTAATAAATCGAAAAAGAAAAGCAATAATTAACGAAAATAAACGCATAACGCACATAGCAAAGCGGCCAGTGTACAGTGCGCTCATGATATTCATCCGCCGCGGTGTACCGCATGTGAAAAAAATGTACATAATTCAAATAAGAAAACGGTGTAAAGTGTATAAACTAATATAAGCTGTGCAAGAAAGCTTCAAGCAAGGCAAGAGTGCGTGAAAAACAGTGCAAGTTCATGTGCGAAACATACATACTACATACACATGATATATGAAGGAAGTGTATACAGCTAGAAGAACAGATGTGAATGCGCTGTAAGAGTATTCCTGCAGGCAGACAGTCGGTAAGGTGAACCCAAGTAACCAGCACGTTTGGTAGTGTTTTATATCGTGACGCAGAGGCAATGGTGGGGCCAACACAGCTAGCAACAACAACGGGATCCAAGTGAAAGGAAGAAACACCAATTTGATTGGTAGGTTAGCTGCTTGGTATGCTGGTACTAGCAACTGCTAGATGCTGTAGCACAGTGCATGAATATAGCCATAGTAGTGCGAAAATATTATAAGGAAGAGGAAGAGGCATACGCATTGCCAGCACATCCGTGTCCGTGTATATCGCTAAGTTGCTATGCATAGAGAACATTACGCAGGCGAAGAAGAAGCAGTCAGTAAATTCATACACACATGCATATAAATCAACGTGTGTTGGAAAATAGAGGGGTCAGTGCGGAAATACATGCACATACATACATACTAACACACAGACATACCACAAACCTACTGTGGTGATATATACATACTGACAAACGCGGTGTACTCGCACGGCGAGCTTTTGCAGCCAGCCAGCTCACAGGCGGAAACTGTTGCTTGAATAGAACGAAGCGTAAAGCAAAGCAAATAAATATTGTGGTTGGCAATAAGAAAATACGAACGGGGGTAACGGTGGTGTGCAGCGGACGTACAATACTAAAATCCACTAAGCACATGCATATATGCGCATACCGTAAGCATTGCAAAAGCTAGCAGCCAGTTAGTTAGCCAGTCAGCGTGTGCGAGCGAGACAGCGCGTTTGACGTGAGCGCCCAATGTAAGTGTGTGCGCGTGTGTGTGCGAAGCTGAAAGTGGAAGTAGAATTAGCCGTAGCGCAACTTGTAGTAGAGAACCAATTATTCATATATGTATGTATGTGTGTGTATTTGTCTGTTTCGCCTTTGTTGTTGCTACTGCCGGTAGTCGCGAATTCTATGTGAAATAGCGTCTGGCCCTCGCCACCGTGCGCTCCATTTGACGGCGGCACCTTACGTATTTGCTAAGCGGCAGCACGGCAGTCGTCATCATTCACTACCCTCACTATAACAGCGCTTTACATACATACATACGTATATATATATTTAATAGACCTCACATCGCATGCTTTAATTTCGATCTTGCTCACTGCTGTTTATTCAACAATTATTTTTCTACTCGTTTAGCACGATAATTATTATTATTTATTTGGCTTTTTGTAGCTAAACCTATGTATGTATGTGTATCTGTTTTGTGTGCATGTGTGAGTGAGCACGTCTACTTTTACTTTGCGCAAGTTTATCGTAGATTTTGCGTTCTTGCTGTGTTCGTGCAGCCTTCCATCGTTGTGCCAATTATAAACACTAACAACAACAACTACAACAACAAACCAACAATAATAACAACAACACCGAACAAGAAAAACTATAATAACAACAAGTCCAACAATCAGCAATTATTCCCATAACACAGATACTATTCTTGTTATTGTTGTTTTCGCTATTGCCCCTGTGTGTGTGCACGCATTCCTGTTTCCTCCTCAACATAATTCTTATTGACTTCATATACAAATTCGCATTGTGGTATTCTTGCGAAATATTCTGCTCATCCGCTTCCCACCTTATTCGCGTCGTTTGCACTCGTATTTATTCACAAACACACACCTAAGTCTATACATTGCCTCTGTGTTCCGCTGTCGCTTTGTGTGTAGAAACGTGTGAAAACAAAAAGTAGAAAACAACAACTTACCGAGCACTTTTGCTTTCGGTCTCAACTGGATTTCAGTAGCTTCTGCTTCTGCTTCTGCTGCTGCTTCTTCTTGTTCTGCTTCCTCTTCGTCTTCTTCCACCGCAACATCTTTGTTGTTATTGCATTCTATTTGAAGTTGCTATTCGTTTGTTGTTTTTGCTTATTGTGTACAATAGCTTTTGCTGTGCTAAAATCGCCATAAACGGCGCAAACAGTAATGTGTAGAACGCATGTGCAGCCGATATTGAATGCGAAGACAGTGCCGACTACAACAACAAAAACCGTCAGCTAGTGCTTTTTTAGTGAAACTCACATTATTAGGTAAGCGCCTTGTTTGCTTGACTCGTTAGCGAAGTTTCAACAAAGCGGGTTTTAACCCTTGTACGCCATTCGCTTTTAAAACGGTTAAAATGTTCTTTAAGAGGTTTCGTAAAATGAGATTACGAATTCGAAAGTGGATTTTGTAATTTTGAGACAGAAAAGGCGTAGTAATCGTATATATTCAAGAGTAAGGTGGGTCAAAAGTTTAAAAATGTTAACAATCCTTCAGATAATCGCTTAAGTTTTCATGACGAAAATCACAACTTATGTAAATATGATTATGAATTTTTGGCAAGTAATTGTAAAGGCTAAAGAAAATCCATTCCGTTCGGCTATGTTCCTTATAATGAGTGTCCTTTACAATAGATTCTATAAAATTTCTAGTGTCAGATGGGTTAGGTGCACAGGACACGTACTTCCGCAGGCTAATCATGTTTTGAGAATTGCAGAGACAAGCTGCTAAACCAATCATATAAGAGGTGGGATAGGGTGAACCGTGTGGCGCATATATTTATTGTTAGGACCAATGCTCGATGCAGGACGTTGCAATTAGTAACGGAGATGTTTTGATATAACACAAGTTATATCTTCCGATGATCTCACTCAATCAAAGTTTCTCTACTAGAGTGTAGAAAATATAACTTATGGCTATCTTTCGGTCTAATACCATGTTCCCACCAAAAACTTTAAGTGTTTATATTACATTTAATTTATCCTCTAATCTAGACCGTCCGTTGAAGATTTAGAAAACAGCTATTTTTGACTAGCCACAACTCTTGATGAAACTTGGTACACATGTTTTTCGGCACCATAAGAAGGTTGGTATTGTAGATGCGTGTAATCGGACCACTGTCACGCCCCCAAACCGCCATTAATCGAAAACCAATAAATTGGCATAACTAAGCTCCACAATACGATAGACTGTTTAGACTGTTCTTTGGTGATAATAATAATATGTCTGTATGTCAAAAATGGATTGAATAGGTCAGTACTTCTCTTAGCCCCCCTATAAAGGGTTTTCCAATAAGAAGGATATGATTAAAAAAAAAATTGTTAATTAAATTCAAATGTTTTTTATTTAATGTGAAGTACAATCGTTACAATTAAGTTGTGAATATAACATCATTCAAATGGCATCCACGATCCACGCAGGAACGAAATCGATAAACCCAATTTTCGAGTACTTTTTCCAAAAAATCAAGGTATATGTCATGATTAGCACGTTCCATTTTGACTTTTAAAGCTTGAAGAGAGTCTGGTTTATTACTAAAGACTAATCACTTCAAATAACTTCACAAGAAGTAGTCTAATGGTGTTAAATCACAACTTGGCCATTCAATGTCAGAATTTCTACAAATTATCGAATCTTCAAACTTATTTCGCAATATATCGGTTCTTGCACGTGCTGTGTGGTACGTAGCCCTGTCTTGTTGGAACTAGATGTTGTCAAGATCAACTTTTTCCAATTGCGGTCATAAAAAGTTGGTTATCATCGACCTATACCGCTTTCCATTGACAATAGCGGTGTCACCAGCTTCATTTCGAAAGAAGTACGGACCATCGTATCGAATCGACAGTTTTGTTTATTTAATCGATGAATAGCGAGCACAGATGGGCGATTATTATGACCATTAAATGGCAAAGGCGCACGAAAAGTTGCCATTGTTCTTGCGTACATCAATACAATGAAATAAAATTACAGATCATGACATATTAAAAATGGCCGAAAGGACACTTCGGTGTAATCATATCATCCATATTGGAAAACCCGATACCTAATAGATAGATTTCCGAATTTCCGGCTGGTTTTATAGCGCATATATCGGCCAATATGTGAGTTATCTTAATAACGGTGCATTTGTGTAAAATGCATAAAATCGGGTGAAAAATTGCCCTAGCCCCCATATAACTAATAGCAGGATTTTCAAACATTCGGTTGACTTTAGTCCTTATATATTGGGCATGGTATGTGAGGTACCCGAATTAAACTCAGAGTGCATTTTTTCATTAGCAATGCGTAGTAATGCCAAAAATAGTTCAATTCGGGTCCATACTACCCCTATCTCCATATGAAATGACTTTTGTTAACACTTTTTGTAACACTTTACCGAATATGTCATCAGTGTGTGAGTATTTATTTATAAAATTGCTTAAAAATATATTCTCTAGGATACCTTAACAATGTCAAAGATTAATGCAACAAGCTCCAGCTAACTATAAAACGCTTAGGTTGGTCAAAATGTGTGATATTTTAATGAAATTAAATGAACAAGTTTTCAAAAAACTATTAAATTATACTAGTGATTTAGCGCTGAATATGTAAGGATTTGGTGTAAACGTCATATCCCTAATATAATGAATTTCCATTCTCTGGTTGACGCTTTCCACATCATCTATATATATTCAATTGAGCCTCTTCGGTTGAGTTTATATATGGTATATGTGATAATCACATTTGAAGATGTTTTTAATATGATTTTAGCTGACGCAAAGTAAACTATAATTATAAAACTAAGTGGGTATATGATCTATAATATAACTAAATAAATTATAAAATTTGATTGTAATACATTCAGGATTTCGTTGAATAATTCTTTCACAATATTTTTTTTATTCTCACAAGTTACAAGAGTATAAATGTTTGTTATACCCGAACTTAGCTCTTACTTACTTGTTTAATACTATTTATCTTTTACTTATTTACTAGATATTACTTTAATTTTTATCCTTTTATTTTATTTGTTTGTTTAATTTTTTTTCACCTTGACAGTTTGTATTGTCTAAATCAGTTGCGATAATGTGATAAATTTCCCTGCTGACAAACAGATGGCGCTAAATCAGAGTCGCACAGGGTAATCTACTCGGTGACAACATCAACAACTGTCATTTTTGTATGTCGAAATCTTGCTAAATCTAGTAGATTAGTGAGATAATCTACTCAACAGCCTCAATCTCGTGATTAAGTGACGGTCAGGACATGTTTTAAACCTCTTTAATCAATCTATTCGAAGGGTTAAGAGAACTATTGTTTAAATTTTATAAAGATGTTTCGGATCGCTTCCACTATTTGGAAACCATGTTTGAATATATTTTCGAAATGGTGGATCTATATACTATATACGAGTACATACATTTTGTTACAAGTTCAGGCCATTATAACAAACTTAGTTTTACTTAATAATGCATATATTATATTAAACGAGCAATGTACAAAATTTTATGCGAAATGCTCATTTTTTGGTTTTACACGAGCGCTCTAATAATTAGGCCATTGATCAATAGCAGTACGCACAATTTTTACTGGTATTGTCGATGTTACTCGAACCAAAGATTTTTTGAGGCTCTCCAAATGGAAGATCCAATACTTTCTGCTTTACCACGCCTTCTAAAATATCGTTGTGCTACACTTTTGCCCATTTCTTCAGAAACGAAGAGGTGTAATGCCTTTACAGGAGACTCACCAATAGCAACTCCCCTTGGAATAACAATAATTTTCGCCTTTAAAAGTGTTTGAGTAGATTTCGTCGATTTTCTTATTAAAAACTTCTTCATGAGTGAACATTTTCTCAACTGTAAAAAATTGCTTTCATGGTCGTTGATCGCGTGCCACTGAAAAAGCCGCTTACATCTGTTGAGATTAATTTGCTTTAAGCGCGTTGTCAGAAGTTGACTCGTTGACCGGAGGTAGGCGTACATGTTTCATACCGTATGTAATAATTTTGTTATTCTAGCATACTTTGCATTGTGCATTGTGTCATTGTGTTGTCAAAAATTTATTCAATCGATAAATCTCTTGCCAGTCCCCAATAAAATGGTTATCGTATCTCTCAGACTACGTAATATCTTAATAAAATGGTGTGACATTTTGTCACCCAGCATTATGTGATTCCATATTATTTCCTACTCGTAATATGGTGAATATACCGATTTTTGTTAATCCGGTTGACTTTACGGTATATATGTGTATGGAAGATTTTGTAAGAAATTATAGTCTGAAGTTTAGTCCTTACATACTGTTGTTGTAATACTTGAAGTTAGCTGCAGCCCTGTGTGCCGGGAATGTAATATAATTGGCATCAAAGTCAGCTATCGGTAGGAGAAGGAAACGAGCTACCTCGTTGCAATTGGACCATAAGGAAAACGGTGTTAAATGAGTGGGTTTCACTCAATATGGAAAAGGGGGTTTATATTATGGGGGGACTATTATGTGCAAGACATTGCTCGGTAAGTCAGCGTCTAGTCTGGATAAGTAAGAGTTTAATCTGCAACAATATCGTTCCTTAATGGTTTTATGTTGTATCCCGCAAATTTCTGTGATTTCAGCAGACCTTGAATAGACATATGAATTAAGAGATCCAATATGTTTACTTAATTATTTTCTAAATACTTGGTACTTGCACTACATACATAGAGTAGTCATTGAGATAATATCAGTTCGTTAACGACCGTTCGACATACCTAACCTCAAATCATTTGAAATTTAAAATTTTGACCACAATTTCCTAAATAATAGTGTCAAATTAGTGCTAACAACCGATTTTTTTACCTTTCTTATTCCAGAACTTTTATGTACCTGCGACCCAACAAATTTACATGTAAAAACAAAGCTAAATTTTATAAACTCCATATAAGTGTTTTCAACGCTTCGTCCTGCAATGGACGGTTACAACGTTCCAATGTTGTCCGATAGTGGCTATAGTAGTAATAATAACAACAACATACAAACACATACCCATCATCACAAAGATCAAATGCTTAGCGCTGGCAGTGCCCCAGCCACACCCTTCCTATATGAAATGCCCGGCAGCCATAAGACCATCAGCCATCAACTAACGGGCAATCTGAAGACGACCAGCGACTATGCCGCCTTCACCAATTGCATACAACAATCAGCGCTGCTCGATCAGCGCACAGTGGATGCGTCCAATATCGATGCTGTGTCGCTGAGTAGCCTTTGTGACCTGAAATTCCCCAACTCACCGACGGCGGAAAGTAGTTTTAAGAATATCTCACTCATCAATATCGAGGCTAATCATGTATTGGTGCCAGCGAAAAGCATCGCTACGAACGATTTGATTAACGATGGCAATGGCGTTGAGGCGACCTTTTCGAATATTTTATATGCCAAGGACGATATAGTTATAGAGACGAAGGATATGCCGCGCAGCGACGCCGCGCAGGTGACCCACGTGACGCACTACTTACCCCTGAAACTCAACAACAACAATAACAACAGCGCTGTTGAGCAGAAATTTCCAAAGGCCACAGTCACGGTCACGGCTGTGGCTGCAACTGTGCCGACTGCTGGCACTACGACTGTTGCGCCAGCGATAGCGGTGAGTGTGCCCAATTCCAGTGCGATGACTGCAATGCCGTACAGTACGACGGTTGCTGGCGGTGCTGCTGGTGGGGGTAGTAGAAGTAGGAGCACTAGAGGCGGTCGGGGGACGAGAGGACATGCCAATAATAGAAATGGTCGTACAACTACAAATCGCCTGCATCAGCAACAACCACAACAACAACAGCAGTTGCAGTCCCAGCCAGCAGAAGCTCTTGGCAGCCCCGGTGTTGCGTCAGCGAGCACCGACTATTTGACTACGAATGCTGGAAATAATTTCAATGTTACGGTAGTTAATAATCAGGTCAACAGTAATCATCACAACCACTCAACAGATAATCAAATCACAACAACAACAACAACGTCCACAAATGTAGACACTGCCAACAGTAAAGTCATCACACACGGCATAAATAATTTCATCAGCAACAACAATCACAGCCAGAATTCTAGCGCCAGTGGTAGTAATGGTACTGGTATTGGTAATGTTATCGGTACTGCTATTGGTAATCCAAGTAATAGCAGCAACAGCAATAATAACAGCAACAGTAACAACCATAACAACAATAGTTGTAGCAACAATGTACAAAATATTAACAGTATTGCAACAATGAGCCAAAACCGGGCCACGGTTTTGCAAAGTGTTGAAGGGGTGACGCTGGCCAATTCACCCACTCAACGGCCTGGTGCAGTAATTGTATCCACATGTGTTCCCGAAGGCAGCTGCAATAGCAATAGTAGTAGTGTCAATATAAATCTAAATAATACCAACAACAACAATAAGACTGTTGGCAGTAGTACAATGTCACCAAGTTCCATGGAGTTATTAAAAGAGCCTGAGCTTCAGCAATCACAACTACAACAACAGGAGCAACAACCACTATTGCACTCGTCAAGCGTTGATTGTGATTCATTATCCTCCATGGATGATCTGTTAGATGATCAGGAGATAAGTGAAGCCAGTTTCGGTGAGTAGTGCACTGTCAATATTAATTATTACTTAATTTTCTACTCAATTTGTTGGAAAGATCTATGTTGGCAATATTCTGTTGGTTTTCAGTGATTTTTCAGCTAAAATAAAATGATATAAAAAGACAGAGTACTAAAGGTGAAATACATATATATAGTTCAAAAAAACGAGACCTATTGCAATTTTATTCATTAAAAAATAGGTAAAATGTGGTAAAAAAACAAAAAATAATAATATTTAAAAAAAAATTTTTTTTAATTAAAAATACGTATTAAAAGGTTATAATGACGAATGAAAATAAAAAATAATTATACAAATAAAAAGAGGTAAAATAAACATAAATAAACCAAAAAATTATGCCACAAAGCACAAAAAAAAAGATAAAATAAATATATCACTAAAAACTGTTAACTCTATATGTAAGTGGAACAAAAGTGTTAAAAAAAATTTTTTTTTTAAATATGACGATTAAAAATTTAATATTTCCGGGTAACAAAAATGATAAATTTAAAACATAATCTGCTGGACGTGCTAAAAAAATTAAACGATTAAAAAATTGTATTTCATTTGCAAATTAATTGATGAACTAAACTAATAGTATAAATTTTACAATATTTCGAAAATAAAGAATCTTCGAAAAATAAATAAATTTTATTTGGAAATATTAAAAACGAAATAATAAAAATTCTAAAACCTAAATGTAAAGTAACAAAATATATTACAAATAAAAAATCAGTAAGTTAAAATCAAAATACAATATAATAATATATGAAAAATAAAAAATATTAAAATCAAAAAAACTTTAAATAAAAACTATAAGCAAGCATATGAAGTAACAAAAATTTACATTAACATTAAAATAGACTTAAATATTCATCAAAACACAACAGCAATTATTAATAACAATTCCGAATTATTAGGCGAAAGATGTTATGATTGTTAATATTATTATGAATTATTATTGTTTATGTTAAATCTAAAATGCTTAAGCGCTTAATTTGAAAATTGTATCCGAAACGAGATTAAATACCTGCATAACCCAACATTGACGTGTAGTTCTCAGGTGCAGAGTTGCATTTGTTACTTAGAAACCCAAAAAAATACTGAGGTTTATCCAATTCTTAAGCTCCAACAGCTTTGTTTCAACATAGGCTTCGACTACATACAACGCTTATAAAATCGTAAAAAACATGGGAAATTCTAAAGCTGTCAAGCTGTCTCTGGTACTTAAAGAGATCAACAATGAAGCGCAAATCATGATTTTTGCGAGGGTTCTACTCTTTCTTAATTTGCTGGCCTTGCTCGGAAAATAATGGGCCCTCAACTTTGAATTTGTAAACGTCGAAAGAGATTTCATAATAAGTTATTTTTGTTTACCATAATTAAATAGGACTGCGGGTCTTCTGCTACACCATACCAGATGAAAATGTAAAAATAATCTTTGCAAAAGCTTTATAGCTATTCAGGAGTAACAAAAATTAAGAATTCTAAAAACTTAAGAATTTTCAATGTTAACCATTTTAACCATACATATTCAATATAACAGTTGATAATTGCATTTTCTTGCGGTATTTTCTCTTTAACAGCACCTTCAAGCGTGCACTTTAATTTCTTTGACCCAATTCAAAAAAAGAATTTAAAGCCTTTTCTCCTTGGAATGCTTGCAAAGCTGACCTTTCCTTTTGCTAACGTAAATAAATAACAACAATGAATTCTGCCTGCTAGACAAGGTCATCTACGAGTGCATAACTGCCGCTACCGCTGCCGCTGCGTATTATGTTTTGGTTTCAAATTCTATGCATTTATCCAATAATAATAGTCGCGCGTGGACCTTGCAACGAATACACTTGTAAACATTTTGTTGTCTTGTTGTATGAGCGCTCGAGCGCTGTGGCGTGTTGGCCCAATTCTACTTAGTGACGGCCTCGTAGCGTGTCTATGCGATTTGTTAGCGTTGACTTTGACCCATTTCCAGGTGTCGCTAACGACAGCGACGGCGGTCGCAGCATAGATGCGGACGAAAGCATGTTTGCTTTTTTGGCGCTACAAGCAGGTGTGGGCACTTGTGTGTGTGCATGTAATTGCGCTTGTAAGCGCTTATTTTGCGGCGACGCGTTGAAAGTGTGTCAATGTCAGGCGGCGGAGGCAATAAATGCAACTACTTCATAGTTGCAATGCGCTGCATTAGCAGCGTCGCCGCCACCGAGAAAGCGATAACGCCAGCGCTGACGACGACGACAGCAGAATAGCCGTAGTTGTGCATACGAAAGCGAAAGTTAGCTAAGCCAACCGACCGCATGCCTCCGCGCCCCAAAGTGCAACCACGTAGCGGACGAACCCCACTAGGCGCGTCGAGTTGCGGCACAGCGCGTTCTTCTGCTTGAATTTGATATTTTTAAATGCTCATTTGTTTTATGCGCTGCCATGTCTGTAAGTTTAGTATGATGAATGTGCAATAATATGCGTATGTTGGTGCATGTATATGTGTGTGCATACAAAATACTGAATGGCCTCCGTTGCAATGCATCCTTGTGTTCAATCTCCAATATTAGAAGCGCCGCATTGCACTTGACCTAAATTGAATGCGTCATGTTCCAATTACGATTCTGAGTGAGCGAGCGCGCCAGCCAGTGAGCGCATGAATGAGGGTGAGCGCGCGTGCTAGAGCAAGTGCATGAATGCAGTGACGTTGAGGCGCGCAACAATGTGATTGCACTAAAAACGAACGAAAAACTCTCATAGCCACAAACAAACTTGTTATGCGGCTAATAAAATAACAACAGAAACAACAAATATTATCGTAATAACAACAACAATAAGAAATAGTAAAGCAGTCAACGCGCGGCGGGTTGTGTGACGGAAGGTGCAAGCAGTTTCTGGCTAACCTTGTGCCATTTACGTATAGGCAACAACAACAAATGCGTGCTAAGGATAAATGTGCAGCGTGAGCACTCAGCAGTGACCGCGGCAGTGACAGTGGCAATGATAGTTGCAGCATTAGAGCATAAAAATAAAGCAATGAAAATGTTATGAAATACAAATTTATTGCAATTGCAGTCGTCCGCCATACAGTTGCTGCGTGACAGTCGCACAACAGCCTACGTACATAAATCCAAGTGTATATACTAAACTCATGCATATAAAAAGCAGCTGCGCCTCCTCAGCGCGCAGCCCAACTCCGACTTGGTACACCTCAAAGGGGCCTTTGCGGCTTGCGTTGACCCTGAATATAAACGCCAACTGTCTTTTTTCAGCAGCGCGCGCTGCCGTCGCCGCTAGTTCTTATCACATTTGATGTTTGCCGAAGGTCGCAACAATAACAACAAACACGCATTGAAGAAATTTTTTGTTTACTTTTGGTTTGAATTTTTTGTAATACGAGCTTGCTATCGTAACTCTAGTTGCTGCTGGATTTTTATGATTGCGCCGCGTGGCTGCTGCAAACGCAGGCGGTGTATGCAACTGGTGGGGGATAGATATGTATGTATGTGCCATGCATTACTAATTGACATTTGCAACATTGGCGGTCGCGCGCTCTCGCACACACACGCCCATAGCCATGCATGGACTGACGCGCGCACGCACTTAACTACAGCACACAGCAGCCACAATGCCACTGCGCGGCAGACATACTATAGACACAATTGATGGCACTGATGAATGTCACAGTGGCTGCACAGCCTATGTAATGGTGCAATCGCGGACGCAGTGTTTACAGTGTGTGGGCATATCAAAAATATTGGTAGGTGTGTATGTGTGTGTGCGAGGAAAATTCATTCAGTAGTTTGGCGTTGTAATTTAAATGGCAAATGGAAGTATTTAAATATTAAATTTAAATTCACCTAGAAGTTAATTAGTTTTAGTTACTAATATGAAATAAAATACTATTTTGAGACATAGAAAGGGAAGTTGTTCAAGGATTTCTTCCTCCACGCTGAATATTATTGAGTTTATTTAGTTGCAGCTTAATTTGGAATAGGTACCCGACAATCAGTACTGACTAGCTTTTTTCGATACGCGAAGAGTTGGAGAGTAGCTAATCGAACAAACTTTACGATTTGTTCAAACATACAGGCAGCACTTGTGGAGCAATCTTGCGCTAGCATGTCCTCTTACGCATCCGCAATTGTGCTACGTTTCTTTCTTGGTGTTTCCGTGTCAAAAATGGTTTTATTAACCCTTTCGTTTCGTTTTCTATAAACTATTAAAAATAATTTTTCATTAAAAATTAATTTTTTAAATCAATCATAAAAAGAAATTTGTATTTTCAATTGTCATTTGAGTGTCATTCACAATAGTAAAATGTATCTAAAATATGCAAAATAAAATTTAATAGCACTGAAGATAACGGCTATACCACTTTAATGAGGTATTCGCATACTCTCTTGTACGAATTCGATAACTTTGTTGTTACTTTTACATGAAATTTTTTTGGCAAGAGAACAGCGCGCAAAGATAACGAGCAGTGAAATGGTAAATCGAAGACAGCTATTGTTATCACAAACTTAAGAAAAAAGCATTAGAAAAATATGCGCTCTTAAACTTTTTACGTAAACTTAAGATATTATGCTAGTGTAGCACCCTAAAGGACCTAACTTTGACAATTAACTCAGGGAGTGAGGAAAAAGGAAACCAGGTTCATTCTTTTATACTGTAGTAAAAATATATTTCAGTTTATATTGATATTGATATGTTGCTGGGCCAATTTTCGGAATTATCTTTTTCAAGAAGACTTTTGGGTGTAGACGATTCTACGAACTCGTGCTATCTGAAATAAAATAAAAAACGAGATCTTAATCTACGTGAGACTTGCTAGTAAAGTACCAATGTTTTTAGCTTTGTATCAATTCTTCACAAAATTACCCTATTTTCGATGATAAGTGCGATCAAAATTGATAATTATTGTAGTATAATTCGCATGAGTCATTATTTTGGTGTAAAAAAGAGAAATACGTATGATTATGAAAATCGTACTATAACCACGCCTCAAATAAATAA